CAAATACACCAAACACGAAAACGCAATGGACTCGTAAGATTCAAGGTTAAAAAGTAGGAAACAGAGCTTTTCAGTCTTACGTGGATTGACCCCGGTGGAATCAATCGTTGGTTTTACCTTTAAGAGGTGGACCCGTCTGTCAGATTCAACATCCACAATTGACACGATATTTTCCGAAGCTGCAGCAAGCAATTGTCCAAGTCTTGGCTGAAACCGTACTTGCGTGCTAGCCCCCTGTGATTGAAAAATTTAAAACATTAGAAAACAGAGTTCAATTTGGGGAGAAGCCATACCAAAGTTCAGGGGCTTGCCTTTGAAACACGCATGCAAGAAGCGTTGATGTTCCAGAAGCGAATATCATTGTTGCCATCACAAGAGCAGAAAATGTCGGTTTTCTTAGGGTGAAAATCAAGGGACATGACAGGAGCAGTATGACCAGAAATTGTTCGTAGGTAGTAACCAGGCTGTGCACAAATTAGTAGCAGTTAGTGACAACAGAACACGAAAAATGGCTGCAACTAACAGAGATGAGTTAATACATCAGAAGCATCCCAGATTTTGATTGTTTTGTCAAACGATGACGTCGCCAGTTGAGTTGAATTAGGTCTGAAGCGAACATCTGTGATGATATGAGCATGTTCTTCCGGAGTGCACTCAGTTTGTAGTGTTTCCATGTTCCAAATAAAAACCTACTGACAAAAAAAAAATTGCATCCACATTATCTGTTTTAAATAAACAAGATCTGACATACCAATAAATGATCTATAGATGTTAGGGTCATGGCAAGTTTCTCTGAGATTAAGATGTTGCACCTTCTTATCATGTCCAGCGCTAGCCAACAACTTCCCATCAGATGAGAAATTACAGCAAATGACCTTACTGGCACTTTTTCTTATAGAACTAACCTCATTAAAGCTAAAACCTGAAACAAGAAAAAGGACCATGGTTACTATATATCGCCTACTAGTAGCATGTTTAGTCTGAGGGGACGAGAGACTACCTTTTGAGGTTTCGGCATGCTCAGAAGGGTTCCGCTTTAGGGTGCTAAACAAGTTTCCTCCATCTCCCTCATCTTGGGACAAAAATGATTCTACATTATCTTCTAGGGCTCCCACATCTCCAAACTGTTCCATGTCATCCTGCAGCTATTAATTCTTGTCATAAGAAAGCTGAAAATAACATGCTTCCATAGGCTATGCAAGAAAATACTAAAGCTACTAAGAAAGCTAGATTGTTGTTATCATTCTTCTGAGGAAATTAAGAAACATACCAGTTGGTTCGCTGATGATGCAAGACCACCTATTCCATCAGAACCATACATCATTGGTACTTTCGGCATGCTATTGACATGCTGCATGTTACCAGTTATAGCAACTCCATCGACAGGGGTATGTGTTGACGGAGTTGACGGCTGTGAGTTGGATGGACCAACCGTGTTTCCTGTCCCTGTACTGTTAGCCGGACCTGAAGAGGAAGGTCCCTTTCTTTTGCGGTTGTTCTATCAAAGACACGAAAAGGAAGTTGTTGCTCAATCATCTTACACACTGAAGAATATCTTAAGTTGGTTCATACACATGATTAATAGGGCACTAAGACTTGTGCGATTGGACCCACATAAAAGTACCTGCTGTGATTGTTGTGATAGTAAGGGATCTTGTTGCTGAGAAGAAGATTGCTGTACTGGGGGCATGTTGATATGCTACAGACCAATAAACAGCAACGAAAAAAGGGAAAATCAGAAAGATGTTTGATTACAAGATTATATTACAAGATTTTAAAATGAAAAGTAACAGCTGTTGCACAATACTCGAAATAGTGAATTATATAAAGCATATCATAGTCGAGCAATTATCAGAAAAATGCATACAAGGACAGACAAAATGATCCAATTTCACCACTTAGCGGAACACAAAAAATGAAATGCTCAATATGGAAAGTTTTCTCTGCCACCCGAAAAAAAATGCTAGAAAGAAGCACAAAAATGCCACTGCCTTCAACAGGAATATGCATTTCTTGCTGATCTGAGAAAAAAAAGTCTTACTTTTGACGAACTTGACTGCATTGGGGATCCTATAGATCCATCATTTGCATTTTGTTGGCCATCTTTCGGATTCAGGTTTCCTCTAGGTACTCCTGTAAATCTTCGAGGGTCCATGTCGCTATACATGGGTGAATTAGTCATATTTCCTTGCGCTTGAACCTGAGCTAACATCTGTTGTTGTTGTTGTTGCTGCTGCTGCGGCGAGAGCTGAAATTGACTTTGATTTTGAATGAAATTTTTCTGGCCCTGAGGGCCTAAACCTGGTCGGATTTGATCCATGCCCTGTAACTTTAGCACGAAACTTAGTAAAAAACTGGGCTTGTAGTGGGAAAAAAAATCCTGAAAAGAATCTCAGTGACTTACAGTTAATGGCCATCCCTTTAAAGGAAGAACATTCGCTCCAGGGTTTAATCCTTCACACGGAAAAAACACAAAACCATAAGACTTGATCGAACAAATTGTAAACAAAAGTTTCTCGTTAGGCCATTAGCATATCACCCTGGGTAATTCACCAGTATTTATCAGCATTTTCTTTTAGGTTAATGTATACATTACATTAGATGTATATACCTGGACTCCCCATTCCAGGCTTTGATTGCAGAATTCCCTGTCCATAAACTGTAGAAGGATCAACTGGCAGTTGTCTCGGAGATGTACCCAGACTAACTTCACTTTTGATTTCCTGCATGTTAAAGAGATTAAGATGCACACCAAAATATTTGATCGGAGATTTGACCAGTCATAAAGTAAGGTGCTCAAGTAGTAGTTACAGTGCTCTGCTGACTTCGTGATTGAATTTGCTGCAGCGCTGCCGAAACTCCTTGATGATTTCCTTGGACCATCTGACTGTTTCAACATAGAAAAAGACCGAGATGAGAAAGGGTCGACGGTGTGAAGAGAGGAAAAATGCCTGCACAAAACTGAAGCTGAGCAAATTTACCCATGATGGTTTGTTGATGATTTAAGAAGGGCCATCCTTGCATCAAGATGGGGTTGGGATGTCTCCGTGTTCATTGAATTTGGTTGCTTCATACGTTCTTCGTACAATTTTGCAGCCATAGCACTGGCATTTGACTGCCCAAGCATACCTTCAGAACCAATAGCATTCATTGGACCTCCAAGAGAAGGATGATTAGGATCCCTGCGCTGCATTTGAGCTTGACGCATCATCTGCAGTTGCTGCATTTGCATTTGCTGCTCCTTCGCTTTACCTTGTTGTGCCTAAATTTTCAAACCCACCGGTCAGTCATCAAATCGAAAACAAAAGAAGAAAAAAAAGAGACCATATCTCAATATTGTAATAACACACCTCAATATAAGCTGCAGCAGCCTCTGAATGTTTCTCATTTGTCCTTGCAATAAAGATATCCCAAAACACAGACCACCACTCAAAAAGAAACCCTCCAGGTGCATCAATTGCTACATCATTCACAACAACACAAACATCAATTGCTACATAGAATAAATAATCAACTGACAACAGGACAAACAACTCTGAGTCTCTGACAAAACATATTGCAGTATTACAGCATCAGAAGAAGATTACTTCAGAAATGGATTTAAGAATAAAATCGAAACAAGTAGATATTACCAACTGGATCCGGTGAGACTTTCCCTTCAGTCATAAATGACTTTGCAGTATTATGCAGTTTCTTCTTCACCAAATAATCATATATGTAAACATCAAGCCTACAAAAACCCCAAAAAAAAATGTAAATCAATTCATAGGAAAAATATAAAAACATAAATCTGGGAATTTGAAAGTTACAATAATCACTTACATCTTATCAGCTTCCCAATTACTTTGCGCCATAGCTTCAGCTCAAGATCGAGCTATAACGAGTTTAAAAGTTTTCAGTCAATCTTAATTCAAATGATTTTGACTACAAAAAAAAAAAAAAAATTTCGATTTTTGTC